TAGCACTTTCCTGACTTCTTCCTTATTTTTCTCAACTCTATTGTAAAGTGTTTTAATACATTTTATAATCATTTTTCTGAATTCCTTCTGATTTTTGCTTGTTGATTTTCTGATTTTTGCTTGTTGACCTTATACTCTGCAACTTTGCTAAATTCCTCTGTTATCTGTAGAAAATTTCTTGTGGATTCAGATTTTCTGTATGTAGGATCATATCATCTGCCAATAGACATAATTTTACTTCTTTTCCAGTCTGAATACCTTTTATTTCTTTTACTTGTCTTACTGCTCTGACTAGGACTTCTAATGCAATATTGTTTAGAGATGTTAAGACTGGGAGCTGTGTCCTATTCCAGATTTCAAGAGGAAAGTTCTTAGTCTTTCTCCACGCATCATGTTGGCTGTTGGCTTTACATATATACTGTGAGTCATACTGAGGGATTTCCCTTCTCCAATTTTATTTATTGGCCTCATCAAGAAATGGTATTGGACTTTATTAATTGCTTTTTCTTCATCCATAGAAATTATCATATGGTTCTTTTCCTTTGTTCTACTGATGGTGGTGTATTTTGTTGATTAATTAAAAATTTTTAACCATACCTGCCTTCCTGGAATAAATACTACTTGACATAGTATGTTGTTGTTGTTAAGTGCCATTAATTCGGTTCTGACCCACAGTGACCCTATATAGGGTTTCCAAGGAGCAACTGGTGAGATTGAACTTCTGGCCTGGTGGTTCAAGATGACATCATAGCCCAGTGCTTTAACCCACAGCGCCACACCAGGACTTTTTAAATATGTTTTTGGAGTTTGGTTTCTGTTCACTAGTATTTTGTTGAGGATTTTTGCAATTAAATTCATAAGACAGATTAGCCTACAGTTTTCTTTTTTGTGCTTCATAGAATGAATTAGGGAGTATGTCTTCCTTCTCTGTCTTTTAGAAGAATTTAAACAGTATTTGTGCCCATTTTCTAAATGCTTGGTATAATTCTCCAGTGAAGTCATCTGCCCCAGGTCTTCTTTTGTTAATGGTGGAAGGTTTTTGACCATTGATTCCATCTTTTCACTGGTTTTAAGTTTGTTGAGATTTTCTATTTCCTCCTGAGTAGTTTGGGTAGGTTGTGTGCTTCTAAGAACTTCAAGTATTCCAGATGAATACCCATTTCATCCAGGGTATTCAGTTTGTTTCCATACATTTATTCATCATTTCTGTCATAATTCTCTTTATTTTTATCTGGTCAGTTGTAACGTTACCTCTTCCATTTGTAAAAAAAATAGGTTATTTCTTCTATTATCTTGTCAGTCTAGCTAAAGTTTTGTCTATTTTATTAATCTTTTCAAAGAAGCAAATTCTGTTTTGTTTTTTTTTTTATGCTGTTTGTTTTCTGTTTTTGATTGTATTTCTGCTTTGAATTTTGTTATTTCCTTTCTTCTGGTAGATTAAAATAAAAAAATTTGAACCTGAGCCTCATGGTCCTTCTCCCGTAATTTCATCTCTTAATTCAGTTTTACCATTCCAGTCAATCTGGTATTCTTCTTTCTCAAACAATCCACTTATATTTCCATTTTCAGGTACTTATACTCTTACAGAAGAACAAACGAATTTGTTTTGAAAACAGTACAGGCAGAATACTCCTCAGAAGACAGAATGTCTTATGTACTTTGGACACATTTTCAAGAGGGACTGGTCCCTGGAGAAAGACATACTTGGTAAAGTAGAGGGTCAGAAAAAGAGGAAGACCCTCAAATCGGTGGATTGTTACATTGGCTGCAACAACAGGCTGTTATCCTACAGCGCCACACCTGGTTCATAGCAACCTCTGAAAGTGCCTGCCCCGGGTAGGATGCTCATTTATTGTTAGTTGCTGTGGCGTCCGTTCAGACTCGTGGCCACTGCATGTGTGCAGAGTTGCTGCATAAAGCTCTCCAGACTGTCATCTTTTGGAAGCAGATATCCGGGCCTTATCGTCCAGGTACCTCTAGGTGGATTTGAATCACAAACCTTGACCTTTCAGTAAGTCCAGTGCTTAACCATTTGTGCCAACTAGAGACTCCTGCTCCGTTTACCAGCGAGATAGCATAATGCTATTTAAGTGCCAGAAACCTAATGGAGAGAGATGGCCTTAAATCTCGCCAATTTGGGAAAGTCGCCCACCTCTTTGTCCCTCAGTTTCCTTCTCTGTGAAATAAATGGACTTACAAATAGAATTATTAGTGTGGCAAGACTGAGGGAAGCACTTAGCTGAGTGTTAGTTAGTAATCTTTTCGTGTCGCCACTACTTCCCGAGCAAGAACCACGCAGCGAGTCTCGCAGGCTCTCAGCGGATGCCGGCTCCTCTCGCCTGCCAGGCCCGGATCTCTGAAACCCCGGAGCGCCAGACGTCAATCAAGGCCGCCGCGGGGCGGGGCGTGGCGGCGCTTCCGCCTGCGAGAGGCCGTGGCGGGCGGCTAGGTTGTGGCGGGGGCAGTCAGGAGCCCGCGTCCCGAGCCGCCGGCCGCGCGGCGGGACGAGGCGGGTGATGGAGCTGGAGCCTGAAGTGCTGCTGCAGGAGGCCCGCGAGAACGTGGATGCGGCGCAGAGCTACCGGCGGGAGCTGGACCACAGGCTGCAGGGGCTACGGGAGGCGCGGAGGCAGGTCGGAGGGCCGCGCCCGAAGGGGCTCTGCGGGCCCGGGATAGGGTGTGGGGTGCGGAGAGAGGGTGGACCGAGGCTTGAGGGCTTCCAGGGGAGGGAGTGTCCCAAGCCTCCGAGGGCAGAAGGAGAGGGCTCTAAAGGTGAAAGGAGATCTAGGAGGTTCTGGGATTGGGGAACTTGGTTGCTTTGGAGGCCGTAGGGCAAGGGACAAGTTGGGGGGACCGAAAGAAGTGTGAGAGGCGTTCTCCACGCTGTGTGGAGCGGTGATGGGAATGGGGTGGGGTCCGAGGTTGTGGAGAGTAAAGGCTAAGGAAGCAGAGCACAAACCGAGGGGATCCTAGACGGCAGTGATGAATGAAGAGAATTGGGGAAGGTGGACATTATTTGGGAAAACCTGCCCCCCATGGGGATGGGGATAGATTTTAGAGAAGCCTGAGGAAAATGTGGCACTTGACTTGGAGAGAGCTGAAGCTGGAGGGAGAATGGATTTTGGAAGGGAAGGTTAAAGCGGGAGAGGGTTGAGGAGAGTTAACACTAAATGAATGGGGTAGCTGAAAGGACTTAATATCGCATATGATCCTGAATGCATTAAAAACATAGAGTGATCCCATTCTTGATGGTTTAGTGTACATGAAGAGCGGAAGAAGGAAAAGGAAATGTTTGATGAAGCAAATACAGAGCTGTAGGAATATGGAAAAACAGATTTAAGGAGGCTAGCGCTGAAAGGAGACTCTAAATATACTTCTAAGTGGCAGTTATCTGTTCCAGTGGGGCCAGCGTTATCAGAGATATAGGAAAACCACATGGTTTCTCTCACCCTTAAACATTCACAGAAAAACATTATAACCCATTGCCAGTATGTGATAGGACAGGCTACTGTTAACACAAATGCCTAATAAGTAAGTTTTTTCTAATAAATAATTTTTTAATGAGTAAAATTCCATCTGAATTTCTCTAGATCACACTTGGTGTTAGTATACTGTCATCCTAGGAAATCTCATGTTGCGTTGAATTTGAAAATGTACAATTAGTAAAACAGTACTGTAATAATAAATGGCTTTGGACACTCAATATTAGGGATACTCACCATGCTTTGGGTTTTACATATATTAAAATAAAATAATAATACTGTCAGCCAGAATCCTTGTAGAGCTGATGTAGACCAGATGGCACTCATATTTTAGTAGCAAAACTGGGAACAAAATCTACATATGATTATCCTGGTTTGGTGAATACTTTTCAAGGCCTTGTAAAATGTACTCACCTCAGTTTTCAATTGAAAATATTTGCATTATTTCATCTGCTATTTTGAAAGAAAGGTTCTAAATTTAGGATATTGTTTTAAAAAAGATAGAAATACTTTTTTTTAATTAAAGACTAATCTTTAAGCCAGTTTTGTTTCCAAGACTTTATGAAAGCAGACTACCTTATCTTTCTCCCCAGGGGAAGCTGGTGGGTTTGAACCACCAATCTTGTGGTTAGCAGCCAAATACACACAGTACCACCAGAGTTCCTTAGTACCTTGGAGTTGTTAAGTGTTGTTGAGTCAGTTTCAACTCATTGCAACTTCTGTAGGGTTTCCAAGGAGCATCTGGCGACTTTGAACTGCTGACCTTGAAGTTCAAACTGATTTTGTGATAAGTCCAGTGTGTAGCCTGTAGCACCACACCAGGACTCCATCTGGGAGTGGTGGTGGTGGTTATGTGCTATAGAGTCGGTTCTGACTCATAACAACCCTGTACAGGGTTTCTGAGGCTGTCCATCTTTACAGGAGTAGAAAGCCTCGTCTTTCTCCCACAGAACAGCTGGTAGTTTCGAACCGCTGACCTTGAGGTTCGCAGCCCAACTCTGAACCACTGCACTACCAGAGCTCCTTCCATCTGGGAGTAGTGCTTTTTAATTTATTGTGTGATATCGATCAAATTCATTTAAAAAAAAAAGTAGTGTGATCTCTTCTTAGATGGTATCATATTCTATTCCCAATTCCATGCATGTTCTTTTAAATTTTACACCCAACAATTTAAATAGAGGACATACTTTTCCATAGTGTAATTTAGCGTAGGTTGTTTTTTGTAACTGTTTGTCTTTGAAGTCCACTGTCTCAGGTTTGAGACAATAAACACTAAGAGATCATCTATCACAGTGTAGGTTCATTATGACATTGCCTTCTAACTACACTGAGTAATGGAGTTGTCAGTCCGCTTTTGTGAACTGGAATGTGTTTTGTGTCCGTGCCAGTTACAACAGGGTCTCTGCTCAAAGTTAATGCTGTTGAACATGTTTAAGTTTGTAGAATGAGTCTTCTTTCAACATGCATTTTAAGGAAGGTCTGTGTTACAAAAATGTTATCAAAATAAGCAGCTGCTTTTGTCTCGTGGTTAGGATATTTTTAGAGTTCCAGCCGTTTTCAGAATAACTACATAAATGTTTTGGCTTTTTGGTCAACAATTTTGCCTAGGCAAAAGTGAGAAGATGTTTCCCATTTATTTGGATATCATTTTTACTAGCTGATTTTATTTCCTTTTGCTGTATTTCTTTTGTATTGAGATATAATTTACATAGCATAAAATTCATACTTTAAAATGTACAATTCAATGTGGGTTTTTTTTTTTTATTATTCATAAAGTTGTGCAACTAATCATTGCCATTATCTAATTCTAAAACATTTTAATCATCTCCCAAAAGAAACCCATACCTATTAGCAGTCATCTACCCATCTACCACTAATCTAATTTCTGTCTGCAGGTATTCTGGCCATTTCACATAAATGAAGTCACACGATAGATATTTATGTATTTGGCTCCTTTCATTTAGCATAATGTTTCAAGGTTCGGTCATGTATCAGTACTTCATTTCTTTTTATGCTTGAGTAATATTCTATCATATGGATATACCATGTTTTACTTACCCATCCATCAGTTGATGGACATTCATGTTGTTTACATTTTTTGACCGTTACGAATAATGCTACTATGAACATTCATGTACAGGTTTTTGTGTAAAATATGTTTGCAATTCTCTTGGGTATATGCAGGTGATTCCCAATTTAGGATGTTGTCAAGTTATGATGAACCATACTTATGACCATCTGTTTTTTTGTTGTTGCTGGTAACATGTACTACATAAATGTAGCAACACATAATTTGCTGATATTATTCTCAAATGTTCTCTTTCCGATGTTCAAAGACAAATAAAGATCAGCTTTATAAAGGTCAGATTTTTGAGAGGCAATAATGAAAACGAAAAGCAAGATAGAAACAAAAACAAAGAGGTATTCAGTTTATGCCAGAACTGATTCACATTGGAATGGAACCCTGTCATAAGTTGATAACTACCTTTGCCGAGGAGTGGAATGGCTGGGTCAATGGTAATTCTGTTTAGCCTTCGGGGAACTTATGGTATACTTTTTATGTCTGCTTTTATTTATTACTTTTTTAAAGGCTCTCATTAGATTTATCTTGTGTTAAGAAATTTTGTCTAGTGGCAATCATATGCAAGACATGGTGAACATAATGTCATTGAACTGTATATGTGTAAAAATGTTGAAAGCGGCAAATGCTTTGTGATGCATATTTTATCCAAATTAAAGAAAAATCACGCCTAAGAAAGTTTAAAAGGAAGAATAAAAATCTTCTAAGTTACTCTGTCAAAAAAAAAAAACAACGGCTACCATGTAGCAGTTTCTCCTCTTGTGGTTAAGGCCCTACCCCCTGTTTTAGAGAAAAGGAAGTTCTGAGTAGGAGTGCAAGAAGAGTCTGCAACTCACTGAGTGAGTTAAAGGCTAGAGAGAGATGTTAGTTTTCTTCAGGAAATCAGATGATTTGTACAGCCCGCCTGGCATGACATGTTGAAATAATTAAGGATCTCTATAGCTCCCTGGAATCCTTGGTATTAAGATGTAAATAATCCAAGAAGTTAACTCCCACTCTCCTTAAATACTCATTTGTTCATTCACTCAATAAATATTTATTGGGCGCCTACTATTGAAGGTCCTTAACAACAACAACTGTGGGTCAGAGGTTAGTTTTGGGCCCTACAGATGCTGTGTTCAAGAAAATGGACCACTGCCCTCATGGTGGCTGATCATTAGGCTATTATCCCTAAGAAAAAAAAACAAGTAGAAACTGAAGTTCATGGATTTTGAGATTTCACTTCCCTTGTGCTTTTCAACACTTACTCTGTTTTTACAGGGTTGACTTTTATACTTGTTGTGTTAATATTCTGGTCTGTGTGCGATTGTATTTCATTCTATAAAATGAATATGTTAGCTTTTAGTTGGAGTGACTCAGTGACTCTCAGTGCCCTGACAAAAGCAAGTCACTACTCTTTCAGAGTAATGACCACAACATGGTGCCTGCCTAGCTCTGGCCAGTGGTGTTCATTTGATTCTTATTACTACACCTGTAGGACTCCTGTTGTGGCGCTGTCGGTTCAGCACTGGACTGTGAACCACAAGGTTGGCGCTTCAAACCCGCCAGATGCTCCTTGGAAACCCTATACAGGGTCGCTATGAGTCGGAACCAACTCCATGTCACTTAACAACAACAACAACAATTACACCTGTGGCTCATAACTTATGACCACAGCAGTGACATTACCTGGGAGCTTGTTAAGAATGGGGAATGTTAGGCCCCACCCAGATCTACTGCAAGACCCCTGGTGATATGTATGCACATTAAAGACTGAGATACACCATCACCATGTCATTATCTCTCTACTGATTTTTATAGTTAAATCTGAACTAAAGGTCTAGTAAATTATTTTCAGTAAACCAGGGCAGGAAGTCTTAGTAGCTCAGAAAAGAAAAGAACGCTATTATTGCTACTTTTATCTCCCACTTCCCCTTCTGTTACTCGTTTTCAAAACAATACAAAAATCTGTTTGAATGTAATGTGCTACTGTAGTAGTACTTAAAATTTCCGTATTATAGTATCCTAAAAAAAAGTTACACATAGAGCTAGGAAATACTAAAAACAGATGAAGTAGTTTTAAAATAACTCA